TCTGGGTCGCATCCGAGTGCCTTCCTTATTGTGTATTCCCATTTGGCCTGCTCAACCGAACAACAGTTGAGAGAATGGTTAATAAGACAGATCTACTATTGTTCTTCACTTTCACTAACAATTATCAACAAATCAAATTTAATCATTTCATTCCAAGGTCTCTACATCAGACTGACCACGCCTAGTATCGGCACATACACCTTCCAACAGATATCAACCAGCAACCTTCAAAGAATCACCGGCGGCACCTCCACCGTGGTATTTCTGGTCAAGACGTGCACCGATGCCAACTTTGCCCTACACACAAGTCTCAATACGGATACTGCTGCTATGTATGAGGTGTCAATTGGTGAATTCAGTAACTCCAGGTCCGTTATCAATAAATGCCTTCACTGAAGGAACATGGCTTCCCACGGCGAATCATCTATTGTATCCTGCAACGAGTACAGACCATATTGGCTCAGCTGGAAGAATGGCGTCATCTCTGCAGGGAAAGGACTAGTTGCCGGGAGCCAGACATTTATGCAATGGGCCCCAACTAGCCCCATTGTGATAAATCACGTTAACATGAGCACATATATTAATTATCCCGGCACGTGGCTCTTCTTAGAGCAGTAAAACTGTCGTCTTGAAAGAACCCCCCAGATAAGTGAGTGAGTTAACAATTAACTTCACATGGGCAATATTTCAGCCATATGACGAGAACAATTTATATATTTTTAAAATGAATACATTTAGAACAAACCCAAACATCTCAGTGGACAGTAACATTACTAGAGTATCACATAATTTGACAAGCTGTTTACTCTAAACTAGCTTTGTATCATAAAGTGATATCGCTATAGAGAACAATACAATATAAAATGGGGCTGTAGATCACAAGCAAAAGATGGAAGATCTCCACACTGGAGACAATATGCATCTACATACAGGTCTGCATGAACTCAAGCTGGGGTTACACCATCCCTTCAGCCTTTGGCACTTGTACTTCACTTTAGACAAACGCGCAGCATGAAAAATGAACTAGAACGTACATACCCTGGCAGGGGGACCATCGTTTCATGCCAGACCTCCTTTGAAAGTATTGCCACTAAAAGTTACTTAATTATCCTAACAATTTTATTCTAAGAAACTCCTAGTACCAATCCGAGTAAACAAAATGAAACCAATCCACTAGAACTGAACACATGTTGTGTATGTTTATACTCTGGCTTGCTAATATTGTCTATAATCGGAAATATCGCCGTTAGGAAAGATTATTAATGATTATCGATATGAAAATAGTGTTATCAATAGTGACAGAAATATGTATACTCCTGTTTGCTCGGAAATATCGCCATTAGGAAAGATTATTAATTATTATCGATATAAAAATAGTGTTATTGATTTGAGACAGAAAAATGTATACTCCTGTTTGCTCAAAGAACCGTCTCTGATATGAATAGTTATCTGATCGATATTTAGTTAACGGTTATCTCCATGGTCTAAATCGATAGCTAGATCTAGTAAATATGTTACAGTCAACATGTAAAATAAGACAGTTTGTAAATTGCCTGAAATTTTCAGTCAATTTACTATCGATTTATTTGACAGACTGACTGAAAGTCAGTCTCAATGTGTATTACCATTATTACATACCGCCTAACTAAGTAAGATTTGAAGCCTGAAGCTTATGTTTGTGTTGATCCTTTCACCGATAATCAAGAAAGATAATCGCACTTCTTCGCTGTGGAAGCCAGCAATTAAACATTGACAAAAACTCCTCTCAACGCTAGGTTGTGTCCCGTCTGCCCAGATAAAATAGAAAGTGAAATCCAATTCCTTGTAGACTGTCATATGTACAACGACCTGTGATACGACCAGTTCTCAACAATACAGCAATCTGATATATAGATGTCTCATCATCTTATAATGTAGGTGTGTGTGTGCGCGTGTATTATATGTGTTTGAATGTAGGTATTTACTTTAGTATGTACGTGTGTAAAGGTATTTCTACATGTTGTTACAGTTAATAATTTGCCGTGACGAAGATCCCCTTTGAACCAGCAAAATAGAACATAGACAAGTCTAAAATATTCAATAATATATTGAACAAACAATGAGCAAGCTACAATAAATGACAATACAGATATCTAGTACAATGCAATTGAGTGGCAAATCTAGAATATTGGGTCACAAATATTAAATATTAACTCACATTTGACATTTACAGTGAGAGCAGATATACTGACTGAAGGTTGTTTACAATGACAGCAGGCCAGCACGGTCAGTCTTGAAATGTTGAGAAACTCCAGTCATGTGAAAAGTCCCGTTTCGCACTACTCAACAACCAGCCTTTACATAGCTCTTAGACAGTTCTCGAGCATTCTAACACAGCTAGGCTCCCTCATTATTCTCTCAGAACATTAGGCAATTTTCTCGAACATACCACTGAATGTCAAAACAAAATAAAGTCAGCCATCCAAGGGAGGCAACTCTGAAGTGCTATCAAGAACGCGAACCGCTAAAAACACTATTACCATTGAACATATATGATGCGAGATGCGAGCCAAAACCCACACTCAAAACTTTAAAACTTGTGACCCATAATAATTATCACTTAATCAGTGTGATATTACAAATACAAATTACAAAAAAACGCACTCTCATAACAATATGATTGCTTACTTGTACGTGTTTAGTTAACTTAAAATGTATATGTTCATATGTTTTGGTATACTGTACACTCTCTCTCTCTTTCTCTTTCTCTCCCTCAATCCGCCCATTTTTGGACTTTCAAACTATGACAGGCGGCACCTCTATCGTCATATTTCTAGTCAAGACATGCAACGATACCAACGTTGCCCTACACATAAATCCTAACACGTATACAATTGCTGCGTTCGAGGGGGTTATTTGTGGTTTTTGGAACCACTGTCACGGAATCCCATGATGAATCATCTTTTGTATCCTGCAACGAGTACAGACCATTTTGGCTCAGCTGGAAGAATGTCGTCATCTCTGCAGGAAAGAGAGTAGTTGCTGGGAGCCAGCGATTCTTGCAATGGGCGCCAACGAGCCCCTTTGCGATACATTACGTAAGTATTAGCACCCATGTTGATAATCCTGGCCCGTGGCTCTTCCTTGAGCAGTTAAATAACCAACAAGAAAGAACCTCCCAGTTAAGCTGAGTTGTTTGGAATGAGTAACTATACTGGAACATTGGTGTCGTTTTACTCAACGTGGAATGGAAGTGTATTGTGGACTTTGATAGCGCTATTTGTGACCAAAGAAATGTGTTTCAATAAATAACTTCTTGTTTATGAGAGTTATGTGCTGGGTTTGATGGTCCTGAAAACAGTTTTTTGATGTATTGTAGTGATACTCCACTCACACTTTCAAACAAGTGAAGAGGGTTCATGTACTAGGCCTTCAGATACTTAAGATGTGTTAATGAGATCCAGACAGCTGGCTTCATTGATGGGAGTACCATCTATCAACAATTCTGGAGCTTTGTGCAGTCTATATTTACGACAAACCCGAATGGAATTTGTTTGGGGTTAAAAAGAGTTGAAGCCATTTACATTGGGTAATTAATAACCATTTAGTTAACCCACAGTTGCAGCTGTCTTCCAACTGTATGCATTCTTAACATTATCCGCAAAGTGCAACCCATCAACACATGTGTTTATAATCACTATACTGTTAAAAATGACAAATAGGCTTCTGCCTTGATGGACTCTTCGTGATTGAAATAATCAAAAGGTGTGCTCACTCGTACGAGGAATTTAATCTAAATATATAGCGAGAAAAATACAGTGACGACAGCGAGGACATATATGAAAGTGCATCACAAATACTAAGTCATATATAAGCAAATTTGTCCAACATATTTTCACACAACAAACGTATTTACAGCTGTGAAAAAGGGGGCGAAAGGACACAGAAACTAAACCTAAGTCAGCTCATGATGCACTCTGTATCTCAGCTTTCGGCAAGATATTGTGATTATGCCGTTACTTTAGCCGCTGGTAGTTGTACGTAATACCAACCAATATTACAACGTCCTCAGCAATGAATTGGCTTAAGTACTTGATAATACACACACCAGTTATGATTGTCAGGCCACACAGGAGGGCAATGGTGGTACAGAGATATCAACTGGGGCTGTTAATGCATATCTTTTAAAACACATTTTCACATCGTATCTTATGTCGTATGTCGAAAAAGATTGAACCCGTGAAGGTCCGGGTTAGAATATACCTCAGTAACCCATGCTTGTCGTAAGAGGCGACTAACGGGACCGGGTGGTCAGGCTCGCTGGTTTGGTTGACACATGTCATCGGTTCCCAATTGCGCAGATCGATGCTCATGCTGTTGATCACTGGATTGTCTGGTCCAGACTCGATTATTTACAGACCGCCGCCATATAGCTGGAATATTACTGAGTGCGGCGTAAAACTTAACTCACTCACTCGAAAAAGATTGGGGAAGTAAGATGTTTTTAATAAATGTATTCCGAGATTTTCTGAAACCAGACTGAAGGTTACTATATATGTTATTGGACTGCAAGTTTCAGACTAACTGATTGTTGCCCAGCTAGTTAAAGATTATTTGTGCGATACGGCCATGTTTTGGTTAAGAATGATAAATGCATTAAACCACGGAGGAAAACTGGTTTGTCTACATATTAAATATAGAACAAGTTTTATGGATAACAATTTCTTAATTTCGTGAGTGCGACGTTTCGATACAGGTTCTTGTACCGTTGTCAAGCAAGAGTGATACATGAAGTGTAAGAGCTGCATATATATACTGTATAGAACAATGAAACAACATAATAAACAAAGGAAAGAACATAATTGCCATGATTGGCTAAGCAGTAAGCTAATGAAGCCAGTGAGTACACAAAGGATAGTGAATGGAAGCCAGAGATGTAGTTACAATGAGATGTTTATACAATAGATGCGATGTTTATACAATAGATTGGGCTTGGTGGAGGAGTGTATCATAAGCTGATGGTTACAATGTAGTTACAATGAGATGTTTATACAATAGATGCGATGTTTATACAATAGATCGGGCTTGGTGGAGGAGTGGATCATAAGCTGATGGTTACAATGTAGTTACAATGAGATGTTTATACAATAGATGCGATGTTTATACAATAGATCGGGCTTGGTGGAGGAGTGGATCATAAGCTGATGGAATGAAGTATCCTTGGTCTTGGTGGGCTTGTGGCGTTTGATGTGAATGGCTTCTGTGACCTTGCGTTTAGTGAAGTCCGTTTGGTTGTTGGCGAGAATGGTGATGGAGGTTGGGTGGATTTCAGTACATGTTTTTGAGTGATTGTAAACAATTATCTCACAGGTTAATCATGTGGCATATAATTACGTTTTCAACTATTATTTAAGCGCTGTATTGACGTTATCGTGTTGTCATTATTCTACTTATTACTCACGTTTGGCAGTATAATTTCTTTGAATATCCTTCGTCGGTCATGTTAGGTAACTGGGTATTTTTCGCATCGCTTCGCTGTCCGCCATGCTGGTGCTGATGCAAAAGATGTGAAGTGCCGCAGTGAAGTTGTTTACTATGGTCTTAACCAATGGTAACACGTCGCGATGACCTTTCGGAGATTAGCTCACGGGGTATATAAGACCGATATAATTGTCTGGCATGTAGGTGATACGAGCAGTAAGTCCACTGCCTCTGCGGGGGATATTCCATCTGGCTCGTTAGGTTTCCCTTAAAGGTCACATGCAACGTAAAACACAACTCTGCAGATTCTGATACCTTTCGGTATGGACTTACCGAAACAAAGCGTCAAAAATGCAAATTCAACTTATAAAGTTGAAAAATAACGCGATGAAAAAAAACGCGCGAAATCGGAGTTCAAACGTTTCACTAATTTACCCCAGACGTTTCTGGGGAATACAGGTTTCAACAGCTGGGCTGCGCTCATAGCACGTGCGCAGTGAAATAGGTTCGCGCAACTTGGAAGTGGGCTGTCTGGTGAATACTCGGTTAAAGCTTTGGTGTGAGCTATTTTCATAATGTTTTTTTGATATCTCACAGGCGCGAGCTTTTTGTATGTTATAACAATGAATAAACTGTTTATATAATTTCATTTGTCTATTTCACCACACATTCTTCTTACCGAGTCACTTTCTCAGTTCGATACTTAAAAGTAATGTCATGATTTAGAGTTGACACAATTTCTAACTGTGATATAGATATGTCGCTGTCACAGACAAAACTCAATGTCTTGTTTTATTGACACCTGTGTGTCTGCCTGCCTGTCTGCTAATGACAATATTGAATACACAACTGCGATCACTGACCACATGCAATTTGAACTTAACACCAATCAGGCTATACACCATAAACAAAACGCATTGATTTATGGCCCGAGTTCGGTCTCTGTCACATTATGTAATTACACAGACAAGCAGGTGTGATACTTGAACACATGACATGTTATGATGTCTGTTGATTGCAAAATGTTATACACAAAAATGAGCATGTATTTACAAAACCCAACTTTCTGTATATACACACACAATGAGCCGTGCAGGCAGCATCTGCAAATGAACCAGCCGTTACACTTGAGTGCGCACCCACCCGCTCTGACTGGGTTCGGTATCCCGGCTGCTTCGTTTCGAGGGAGGTAAACCCAAGTACAAAATATTGCACTTTTGATTAGCGATTATACGCTTATAATTTTGTTTATTTGTATTTTCATAATCAGCAATGCATATTATATGTCATGAAGAAGTGATAATTGTGTTTTAATTATGTTTGATTTTTTGGTTGCATGTGACCTTTAAGACTAGCTGTTGATGTGCTGTTGACGGTAGCCGGGTGGGATAAAAGGAGAGATGGGAATTGTACAGTAGTATGGTAGATATATACATATGTGGTGATGTAGTATATTTGTTGGGTATTTTATATCATGTAGGTAGTGTGGGTTGGGGGGGAAATTAGTTATGGGAATAAAGTAGAATATATAGAATGTAGTGTAGGAAAGGTTTCTTGAGTGAAGAGCTATGTTTGTTATCATTTTTTATATTTTCCTTGCTTTCATTTAACAGAATAAATTATTAGTATTTACATTTCTGCCTTTTGTCATATTTAGTTGAAAGGATTGACAGATGTCATTGAACCGAAGATGAATTGTAAACTGTTCTTCTGGTTTTGTAGTTTTCCCACCTTATATTAATATTACACAACGCACACAAGTCCACAATAAACCATGAGCAGGGAAACAATAGGGTACATTCCGCATTGAAACTCCTCTCACTTGGCTGCCTATTAGAACGCGCCTAATACAATATGAAGACCTGACTATTGCAATAGCCTCCATATTTCTCTGATGCTGCTTTCAAAATTACCAAATGTCAAAAAATACAGCCGCCCGAATCATTAGTAGAATTTCTCACACTTGTCATAACACATGTCGTGAAAACCCTGCACTGACTTCCTCTTAAATCAAGATTCAACTTTATTTTTTTGTGTTTTGTGTACAAAAGCCTCAATGGCGCAAATCCGGAATACTTACAAGAACCTCTTACCACTTACACTCCAGAAAGACAGCTCCATTTCAGAATCTGAACTTACGCTCCATGTCTCGTTTCAAACTGCATACGTTTGGAAGGAAATCCCTGGCTTGTTCTGCCCCTCTACTTTGGAACCCTCTCCCTATCACCATTAATTCAGCAGTTGAGTTTAATTCCTTCAAACATCTGCTCAAGACTCATCTGTTTTCATTGTATTATGACCAGCCACAATTCCCTCATTGTATGTATGTATTTTATCCATCCACTGTGTTAGCGCTTTGAGCATGTGCCTTGTGTTGTACATGGACAAGGCGCATTATAAATTAACATTTATTATTATAATAATGACTGACGCTGCAGTGTCATATGCCTGCTCAACGTCGGTGCATTATTCATGGAGTGAACAAGTTTCCTTGTAATCCCCAGTATTCAATATTCAAATCTACCTATTTTCTTGCTGCCTGTGGTACCTCTGAACACGAGGTATGTAATTAGATTGTGAGGAATGGTTTGCAAAAGTTTCTCCAAGTTGGCAATTTTCAGATGTATTTGTTATACACTCTTCAATAAGGACACATTACATTATCTTTCAAAGTTTAATTACAAAACCTCAAAAGCAACTAAAGATCATTACACCATGAGAACAATACGGGATGGTTTGGCGTTGGCATCTGTAGCAGTCGTTTGTGTGCAGAATGATGCTGCAGGATCACGTCCCGATATCTGGTGCACCTATCACATGCAATTTCTGCACTTATGACTCCACTTCCACTACCGCCACCAAACAATCGACGTATTTCACCCTTTTTTGAACATAAAGTTCCCCTCGACATCTCAAGAAACGTGTAAATTTTAACTCACTCACTCTAGACACGTCTGCTTCCATCAACGCATGACAGGAGATGACAAGACTTACAAAAGAACAAAACAGATCTGCATAACGTGAGATAGACATGCGCCAGGTGCATTAAAATCGACATTCAGAGATATTTGTAGAAACAAATTAAGAAGAACACGAAAGGAGTTTATAATCTTCTGTCAATTAAACACAGTAATGAAGACCTTTGGAAGTAACTCAAGAAATTGAAAACAAAATCTACTAACACAATAGGGAGGCTGAAACACTTTGAGAGTTGACTAAACAATGAACAGAAACTGACTTTGATGGAAGATTTCTTATCTCTACACGATAACCAGTGTATTAACTGTGAAAATGGAACAGCACAGTGTCTTAATGCACCTATAACTTTAACTGAGCTAACAAGAACAACTAAAGCAGAACAATGCAGTGAAATACTGGTGCAGACTTCTAAACATGCCTGACTATAGATTACCAACACAATGTTATTTTATGCTATTATCTTTAGACAGGGTAGGTCGAAATTCATGGACAACTAGAATTAAAAATATTCTTTCTCAATTTGGTTTTGGATTTGTTTGGATAAGCCAGGATGTTGGTAATCACAAAATATTTATTGAATCATTTAAAAAGAGATTACAAGATAATTTATTCCAATCTTGGCAATCGTCTTTGGATAGCAGCTGTAAATGATTTTATTAAATTCTTTGTTAAATGTAGATACCTACTTGATAAATAATGATATCCCTCAATATTTAAAAGTCCCCGATTTCGGTGTTATAATCTGAAAACTAGCAGTTGAAACTGGTAGATACATTAATGTGGTATATAATGAAGGGCATTGGCTGTTTTGCAAATTAAATGGTATCTTCGTTGTTGAAGATGAATGGTATGTGTTTTATATCTGTGATGCCTATTCTCATATCAGAAATAAGAACATATCAAAACATTTTAGTAAATGTCAATCAATTATTAATTTTACATCTATAGTACTGAATAAAAATGTTAATATCATCAAGGATGTATGTCTATTTTTTATAATTTGTTGACAAGAGAAACAAATCTAAATGAAATACATTATATGTGCTCCAATTATCCATAAATTTATATATGTTTTTTGGGCCGGAGGCCTGTTACTGAAATAAAGTTCTGTTCTGTTCTGCTCTGTTCTAAAGCAGAAGAAGTCACCAGGCTGTGATTGTATACCTTCAGAAATACTGAGCCACCCTTCTGATGTGATATCGGTTGTACCTTTACCCCTTTTCAGCAAGATTCTTGAATCAGGAAATTTTCCGACGAGTGGTGTCGAGCTGTAATATGTCCCCTCCTTAAGGGCAGATCGCTAAATTAGTTGATGACTAGAGAAGGACGTCACATTTACGGGAAATCTTTCATAAAAATAATAACTCAAAGTTTACAGCAATGGACATCTGATAATAGTATTTTATGTGAAAACCAGGCCGGATTTAGAATGGACAACTCACCGGTGGACAACATATTCACCGTATTCTGCATGGAATGATCAGAAAATATCGGCCAAAATTGATTGTCCGTTTCTATTGCTTTTTCATAGACTTTTAGAAAACCTTCGACGACTTAAATCATTCATATCTTTGGAAACGAGTCATCAACTATAACATACAGCCCTGCAAAACATGTATTCCAAACTAAAATCATGTGTCAGACCTTCCAGTGATCTAACAGAATTCTTCCAGTGTTTCAAGGAATAAGACAGGGGTGTATCTTAAGCCCGCTACCTTTTACCTTATACATCAATGACGACATCAGATCGTAAAGATATTTATATTACTGAAGATACCACTAACATAACGCTGTCCTCTTGGCAAATTTCAGTTCAGTCACCACTGTACAATAACCTAAAACTACATACAGAAAAATCATAAAACAATACACACCAATATCTCCATTGGTGAATATTTATAAAATTGTGAATTTGCGTAAATATTATATCTACAAAAATGAAATGTACAAGCATCCAGCATTCTTGTAAATCTATCTTTATTTGCAGTGCGTGAATTCAAGATAACAAAACGTTTTGTGAATATCCACTTGTAATTGAAATAATTGACGTATATATTGTTCTTTCTTCTGGCCATGTTGAAATTTGGGGTTACATAAGGCCGCTTCTGCTGCTAAAACCCGGGACACCATTTCTTATTCCATACTCCGATTACAAACCAGCATTAGATCTTACATCCGTGATCTAATGCAACAGAAGCGCGAAACTCAAGTAAGAATGATAAAATTACATCAAATAAAACCAACTAATGGTTACACCTACTTGAGTTAAAAGTGAATTTTTAAAGAGGTCATTATGCGACGATGAGGCATTTTCCATGCCAGATATATATCATTAAAAGTTGAGGATCGTTCATTTTGTATTCCTTGTGATTAAAAAAATCACTTGACTGCTTTGATTTTTCCATCAAAAGGAATCAATATGTCAAACGTGTGAAGGATCCTTTTATTAATATTAGTTCTCATTTATTTTTTAATTGTTTTTAAAAGGAAATTGATATTATTCATAATTCGTTAACAGTCAGTGATTTTGTATTTGTAATGTGAATTCCTAACTTCGACTGTTAGTGGCAATACTTTCAAAGTGGGGTCTAGTTGCATGAAACGATGGTCCCCCTTAGAGGGTTTGTGAGTCCCATTTCATTCAAAGTATGTTTCATCCTCCGTGTTAAATTGGAGTACAATCGCCAACGGCTGAAGGGATGGTGTAAACCAAGCGTGGGTTCATGCAGGTAGCAAAGGTACTGTACATCCACATGGGCCCTAGTATTTATATTGTACTGGTCCCCACAGTGATATCGTTTTATGATACCAATTTTACTGTCCCTTGTCGACATATTTGTTTTGTCTTGCTGTAGATTCGTTTTAGAATATAAATTGTTCATCTGGCTGAAATATTTCCTATTTGAAGTTAAATATTACCCCACTCACATAACTGTGAGGCTGTTCCACGACGACGGTTCTACTGCTCTAGGAAGAGCCATGTGCCTGGATTATTATTATAGGTGCTGATACTAACGTGATTTATTACAATGGGACTAGCTGGGGTCCATTCCATGAATTGATCGCTCCCAGCAACCAGTCCCTTTCCTGCAGAGATGACGCCATTCTTCCAGCTGAGCCAAAATGGTCTGTACTTGTTGCAGGATACAATAGATGATTCAAAGAGGGAAGCCTTGTTATTGCACTGAAGGCACCCATTGATAAAGGACCTGGAGTTACCGTGACCACCAAATGACACCTCATACATAGCAGTAGCATACTTGTTGGGATTTGTGTGTAGGGCAAAGTTGGCATCGTAGCACGTCTTGACCAGAAATACCACGGTGGAGGTGCCGCCTGCGATAGTTTGAAGGTTGCTGGTTGATATCTGTTGGAAGGTGTATGTGCCGATATTAGGTGTGGTCAGTCCGACGTAGGGACCTGGGGATGAAATGATTTGAGTATGTTGGTAATTGTTAGTGACAGTAAAGAACAAACGTTAACCCTTCTCTCTTGTAGCAGAGCAAATGGGAATACACAATATGGAAGGCTTTCTGATGTGACCCGGGTTTTGCTCTCAGGTTTACTGGTTTAACAATGGAGAGACGCAAGACACACCAAGCCATTATCCGCGCCAAGTGGTATCAGTCCTACATAAGTACACCCTTTCTGTGAAACAAACAGTTGCTGACAGACACAAAAGCACAATACTTACTTTAAAAAAGGTTTACCTGTGCAATTAATCACGTGCGGAGTCCAACTGCCATCAGCCATGCAGGTGTTGTTGACGCTGACGACGTCCAGCGTTACATCTCTGTAGTTTGTGTGACAGATACATGACATCACAACCCCTGCTAGCTTGGATTCAGAACTGCAAAATGCGTTGGGAATGGGTTCGTCAGAACAGACATCTGGCTGATAGATTTCCCCTGCGGAGTAGAAAATTCCGTGAAATTGGGGGCGGCGGGGTAGCCTTGTAGTTAAAGTGTTCGCTCGTCAGGACAGACATCTGGTTGATAGATTTCAGCTGTGGAGGAGAATAGTTGAAATTGCACAGTCATAGACTGTCCCATTCTTTCCAGCACGAACAATGTCACAATACAATAAGCAAAAATTCAATCGAACCACAGTGGCCTGCAAACAATCTGGTGTGGACATATTATGTAGCTATAACTCATATGTAGCTATAACTCATATGTAGCTATAACTCATATGTAGCTATAACTACAGACTCCAGTTCTTCAGATTTACAGGTTCTTCAGAACAAACATCTGGCTTATTGACATCATCTGTGGATTAAATAACGAATAAAATTCTGCAGGGATCTCGTAGTAGCAGGTGGTGGGAAGATATAAGTTCATGCATGTGTTTTGTGTATTGACAATTTTGAGTAAGTCTATTTCAGGCATATCGTCTATTTCAGGCATACCGTGACTACAAATAGATATAAATTCATGATAAATACATATATTCAAAAACTGTTTGACGAAGGACAGTAAAACTAACTAGAATAACACAGTATCAAGAATTTAAAATAGCATCATTCTCTAAAGTTGGATTTCAAATGAGGACAGTACAATATAAAAACGGGGTGTGTATCGCCTGCAACTGAAGGTAGATCACCATACTAGGGACTGACAATTACGAGATTAATTGATTGGAATAGTAAACTGACGTACAAAAAAATGTACACACCTGATGCTTTGGTAAAATGTTTTCATGAAAACAGCGTAATATTTAGAAAAGTGCTTTGATTGCGACTCACAAGTTACAAGCATTGTGTACGTGTTGCAATAACACCATAGATATCGTACCCAATTGGAACATTACTAGCAAAACATTAACGTTGTTTTAATAGTCTCAAAACATCAGATGTGTGGTTTCTTTTGTTACATCAATATAGAAATCATTTAGTACAGGAGCAAAAGCGACAGAGCATATGCTCTTAAAAATCTCTTTTAAAAGCTGCGGGTATATTACGATTAAGACATTATATGTGAATCAAATCACAACAAACATCAGCATTGTGATGAATAGTGAAATTCTGCTGGAGAAGCCAAGTTGAATTACGTTGTTGTTGGGTGACAACTGACTGTATTTACCTAATGTGCCTCCTTTCATTAATGCCAACAACCACAGACTATATAACCGATTCTTCCATGAGATATAATTGAAGAGAAGTATGCAGTAGTATACTGTAAACAGGTTGCAATTATTTGCCTTCAGGTTGAACATGACAGTATAAAGAGCACGCTAAATATTATTTCATGTGGACACTTTGATGTTGTATGTAACGCATGTCTATATTTATATCAAGTCTAAAAGCGTAGGGAAACTCAGTTTCACTGACATGAGCAATTATGCAGCCAAACAATGCGTGTACTTAGGGCCTTTTCACTGATTGAACTGTCTCTCTGTCTGTGTAAACAGCACTTTCGTGGAAAGGTCCTTGTGAAAAAGCCATGGTTTAGCAGCAGAAGGTCAGTGGGGTACCCAAATGGTTAAAGTGTTCGCTCATCATGCCCAAGACGCCAAAGAAAAGAGTTTGATTCCCAACATGGGTACCCATTTCTTATGTTGCTGGAATATTGCTAACAGTCACGTAAAACACACTCAGTTAGTCAGCAGCAGAGTAGCCCTTATACTGCCAAACAGAAGACAACGCGTGTTCAAAATAAATTTGTGGCTTCAAATTTGTCAAGTAGTCCTTAAAATACACGTTCATCACGTTTTAATAGCATAGGCTTCCAACAACTTAAGTGATGAAGTTGAAGTTTGAAAGCGTTTGTAGCACATTCAGGAGTACTACAGTGCCGTGGAACAACCTCAGTGATAGTCGTGGTGGTTATTGTGTACACATGTATAGAGCAACGTTTTCCTAATGAACCAATCTGCTTCCGACAGTACGAGTAATAACTATTTGATCAATTTAATTATGCATTTATACGTCTACGCCCATTACTAACACGAAAGGGAAAGTGTTTGGAAATGATCGCTCAACCTGTTTTTCTGAGCCATGAAATGTCTAGCCATTCTGAACGTGCATTTCGTGGTTATTGTGTACACACGTAAAATAGAGCAACGTTTTCCTGATTAATAAATCTGCTTCTGACAGCACGAGTAATAAATATTTGATCAAATCAATTTCTCCGTTTCAGCAAAAGGATATTGACTGACATAAAGCAGGTGTCGTTAGTAACCAAGTGATAATAGTATATTGATGACAAGATGAAAACATGTTTGATAATCAATACTTAAAAACGAATTTCAGACAATGACAAGTCAAAATGTTGACAGGTGGCGCGGCAGTTTGATTCGAAAGTCAATAAGGCGTATGGCCTCCTTGAGCGTTGACAACAGCGTTGCATCGTCTGTACATGGAGTTGATGAGACGGTTGATGAAGGCCGTAAGAACTTGTGCCCACATTCGGTGATACGCCTGAGAGAGTTCAGCTGCAGTTGTCAGCCTTAATCGCACATCTTCGAGGCTCCTCTGAATCTCGTCCCACAATTGTTCTGAGGGCAGGCCATTGAAGAGTTTGTATGCCGTGTTGACGGAGAAAGTCTGTAGTTGCTCCGGCAGTATGGGCACGCGCGTTGTCATGCTGGAAGACGTGGTTTCCATGACGACCAAAATGTGGCAGGACGAAGGGTCTCAGCACTTGATCAATGTAGCGGGCAGATGTTACACCATTTCCTTTACCAGGACCAATATTATGGAATACCATAGGGCCAGGTTTGTGATTGAGAGCTATAGCACCCAACAGAATTATGCTCGGACCTCCCCACGAGTCTCTTTCCAGGACACAATCATCTGCAAAACGCTCCCCCGCGTCGTCGCCACACACGACACGTCGTCGTGTGTGGCCCACTGGAGGCGAGCACGACGATGTCGAACAGTGAGGATCAGACCCCGGTAAGGCCTGCAACATCTGACGTTTCTCTTCCATAAACGCCTTCGCACTGTGTCAGCGCTGATTGGTCTCTGGTGATTGCCAATGGTTGTCTGTGCAGTTTCCGTAGCCCAAGGGAAACGATTTTGCAGGTGATGACAGACAATCTGCCGATTTTGCCTCAACGTTGTCACAGGCAGTCTTCCACTGCGAGGATGGTAGGCTGTGCTTCCCGGGGGCTTGGACTCGTTGCTGCAGGTGGTATATTGTTCGAACATGAACAGAAAAATGATTTGCAACATGTCTTGCAGTCTGGCCAGCATTCAGTCTTGCTAAAGCTTGGTCCCTCTGTTCCTTTGATAATCATGGCATGTCCCTACTGTCGAACAGTGAATGATTCGGAGCATGTTCGGTGCCTCTTCTTATAGGGATGACACCTCGGGATGCACGTGCATTGTCATTTTCATGAAATACACACAAAAACCTCGTCCTACCATACTTTAGTAACTGCGTTTTGACGACGTTTTTTTGTATCAAATACAGCATCTGAACCCAAATTTTCTTGAACATTGGCAACGCACCAGGTCTACCAAAATATAAATAGTGAAAAATTAAATAACATTCAGAAGAAACATTTCTGGCAAAATGTTTGGTAGGATGACGTTTCTGTTGCGGTTCAGTATATCTACAAGGCTTTGATGAAAGATACTGAACAGTTTTCGAAACGAAACCCACCCCTCCTTTTTGAGCCTAAGTCAAAAACATTTCCATAGAAACCAATAAAAATAAAAATGACAAAAACCTGCAAATAGCAAAAGTCGCCACTTTAGGTTCTGTTTGATATATCTACCACGTTTTGTTGAAAGATATTGAACGGTTTTTGAGTTATTCTCCGGAAACAAAATGATTACGGACGGACGGACGGACATAGGGACGAGGCGTTGACTATATCCCCCCGCATTACATGCTGGGGGTTAACAATAATTGCCGACAACTCATACAGTTTTACTAAATATACAGAACACAAACAGCTGAATTGAAATTATTCTGATGCATATTGATTGTCGACATGATGTCTGTCTGCTGCAGTAGTCAGGTATTTGTCGACATGACGTCTGTCTGCTGCAGTAGTCAGGTATTTGTCGACATGACGTCTGTCTGCTGCAGTAGTCAGGTATTTGTCAACATGATGTCTGTCTGCTGCAATAGTCAGGTATTTGTCAACATGATGTCTGTCTGCTGCAGTAGTCGGGTATTTGTCTTCAGTTACCCAACAATTGCCTTTCCCGTTCATTGTTGAGACTTTTTGTTGTTGATTTGGTATGAAGTAGAAGATGAATATACAGATAAGAAAGAGCACGCTGTTGGAAATAAAACATCACAGTTCGTAACGGCCCATGGAAAATGCCAGGGTTTAGCAGCAGAACAGAACAGGCGTCATTCTGCAGCCTTCTGTTTGACATGCCAGAGAACATGGGCTCCTTTCACGAAGCAACCGTAACTAAGGTTAACCATAACTCCCCTTCTTTAACATTGCACTAAGGTTACCTTAGTGACTTACGATCACCTTAGCGCTTGGTGAAAAGAGGTCGTGGGGTCCATTCTTCACAATTTGTAGAGCCCATTTCAGGTACTCCCCACCATTACTTGGCTAGATTATTGCTAAAAGTGGCCTTAACTATACATTTTGGCTTGGGGTGTCGAGGTGAACGGACGTGCTTTTGAGAGTTCTGCTCTTCCTATATGATGTTATCACGAATTTGGCCGACATGAACTCTTCACAGTATTATCAAACACAGAACCCTGATCCACTGGATTATAATATTTTGAATGAACTTAATGACATTATAGGTGCTAATGACAGGAAAACGTGTGAACAAACGCTGGTCGATTCAAATGTCGATGATGATGAAGGTTTGAACCATATCAGACAAGCTATATATGATATTGCTAAAACTGAGTGTCGGGATTTTCCGGAGGGAACTCTTGTGAAGAGGGTGAAAAGAAATGGCCAGTCAAAGTCAATTGCAGAAAAGTATGCATCTGACGTGTATCTACTGTATAAGTTCTACAAGGGAGCTATACAGTCACATGTTATACAGACTGAAGTTCTGAGCAGGGTTAAGTCGGTCCAGCCCAAAGTTCAACATGAATTAAATGATATGGATAAAGATATTGCCTCGCAAATGCTATCTAAGATGATGTGTATTCATGAAGATATGATAAAGAAGTTTGAGTCTGTATGTAAACAATTAGAAACCTTTGAGGAAAAATATGATAGAGACATGATGCAGCTGTTTGAAGCCTATGATGGAAAATCTGACGAGGTCAAGTGTTGTAAAGAAGAGATAACTTCTCTTCGCCATAGTGAAAAAACTCTCATGTCAGAAGTAGTGAAATTACGCAATCAGATAAAGCAGAAAGACTTAGAACTGAAAGACACAAAAGATAGCCTAAATTCAAAGCTCAACTCCACTGAAAAGTGCGTACGAGCAATTGAGGGCAAAATGGATTGCGTAAGTACAAGGCACAAGCTACTGTATTCAGAGGCCCTCAAGGATACAAGCACTGATGTAACCACGCCAAGCAAGACGACAATGGAGCCCAGGGATAGTCAATCAAGCCCTGTCAGCACTCCCCAGCCATTCAATGATGACGTCACAGTGGAGACCCAGACAAGCTATGATATCAACCCTCCTGTGGACATTGGTACAGTAGATTACGTCACTAACAACCACTACTCCTCACACACGAGACGAAACCAGTCAACAGACAGAAGAAACGTCACTTTCACTAACCACTGGAAAAAGTGTTTCTCAGGAGTATCCAGAAATAGAAACAAACGATTTGTACTGAGTTATGTATAACCTTACGAAGTCGTTAAAGATGCCATCTGTGAATATGCCAAAGAACGTGGCGTTAACGTCTCCAATACAAGGCTGATGAAACATTGGGAAGAGGGACGTTATCCAACATACACGATCAGAATAACAGTGTCAAGACGATGTGTGGATATTATACATGGCGACGAGTGCTTCTGGCCCGAAAACGTAAACTGTAGGGACTGGATTCCAAACAGCGATTGGTACAATGACGACACGACAATGAAGCAAACACGTAGGGCGTGGTGTGGAGTTGTGTATATTCTCATGGCAGCTTTCAGTGTAATAACGTGGAATGTACGGGGTGCTAGTAACTGTTTGCCCCATCTCAAAACAAAGCTCGATGGCTGTGATGCTCTATTCATTAACGAACATTGGATGAATAAGTCTGAAATATCAACACTGCTCGATCTACATGACTCTTTTAGTGTATACTATAAGTGTAGAACTGACCATTCGTCACAGAGAGGAGCAGGTGGTGTTGCTCTGTATATCCGGAAAACATTAAACAGCTCTGCGCTCTACGTATCAGAGAGTGACAACATCCCGGGTGCAAAGGTGACCATTAACGGGAGCACAACCTTTTTAATTGGCACCCGTCTTCCGTCCACAAACGTGCTTGTTTCTCGATATTGTGAAGAACTGTATAATACCTTTGATCTATATGACAAGTGCGCTCAAGAAGCAGAGACAATATTAGTTGGAGATTTTAATGCTGACATAACTGACTGACTGACTGACTTGAGTTTAGTTTTACGCCGCTTTTAGCAATATTAAAGCTACATCACGGCGAGGGAACACCAGAAATGGGCTTCACACATTGTACCCATGTGGGGATTCGAACCCGGGTCTTCGGCGTGACGAGCCAACGCTTTAACCACTAGGCTACCCCACCGCCCTAATGCTGACATAAGACACTGTTTGACTCAAAGCGTAGAGCTAGGCATCTAAATAGGGTTCTTACAGAACGAAACCTTGTATCTGTTATACCTCTGGATGATAGTAATGTTTTTACTTATTCCAACAAGTGTAAAACACAAAGAAGTTTGATTGACTACGTCTTCATAGTTTGTGATCTCAGAAATAGGGTACTGGGTTATGCTATTGACAATAACACAAGCTATGCTGCATCCGACCGTTTTGCTATCCCCAAGGTGTTTCGTAGTGAAACTCCTACATACAGCTATACTGGTGGTATACATCTAAATTGGCAAAAAGCCAATCCAGTAGATATCTCATTGTATCAGTATGAAACTGAAAACTATTTTAGAAATGTTGAATTCGAATGCTCCCAGTATACATCTCCAGAAGAATATATCGAAGCTCATTATGCATATGTAACCCAATCTCTCCATTCTGCAGCAATTCTGATAGTTGTTGTTGAGTTGGCTTTACGTCACATCGGCATTATTCCAGCCATATAGTGACGAGAACAAGTTTGCATTAGTAAACATCGTAAGTACATACTCGGAATGAGTTTTATTTCAAGGACATATATTGATTACATTGTCATTTAAAAGCAAAGAAAGTCATAGCATCAAATTTAAAGGCAGGCAATTTGTTAGTCACGTTTCATAGTTTCATATTTCGCAGTTACAATTTGTGATACAGATCAACTTCCCTCAGGTAGTTCACTATGAGATGAGCGCTCACGTGGGAGAACAGATCTTTTAGGTTTGTTGCATCATAATGTGAGTCCCTTGCAGACGATAAGTCCACGCATTCAAGCAGAATATGCTTGATGGTGAAAACCTCACCGCAAGAGACACACATGGGGGGTCCATCCCCATCCGTTTTCAGCAGATAGTCATGTGTAAATCGACTGTGGCCAATACGACTTCGTCATAAAATTACTTCATCACGTCTTGACTGACAACCCAAGTAGGTATAACCTATTGTTGGCTTCAATTCATGGAGTTTGTTTCTTCCTGCTTGAGTGTCCCACCTTTTTTGCATCAGGTCCCGAGTATAGCTTTTGAAAGTGGGTTTGAAATCACTGTACGGGATTAGCAGTGGAGATAGGGGATTGTCAAGAGCTGCTTTTGCTGCAGCATCGGCCTTGGTGTTACCTGCTATGCCGACGTGACCCGGCAACCAGCAGAGGACGATGTCACATTGGCCAGTAGAAAGGTCGTTGTGAAGTTCTAATATGTCCAGGATGATTGGGTGACTTGAAGTCACATTTTGAAGTGCTTGAAGGCAGGATAATGAATCTGTGAAAACGATGAAGTTTTTGGAATGTTTTTGCTGTTGAATGTAGGTCAACGGTGAGAAGATAGCTTTGGCTTCAGCGGCGAAAATGGAACTGTTGTCGGGGATCCTAGAGGAGACAGTCTTGGCTCCAATGACTCTAGCGTTCTTGGATCCGTCTGTGAAAATGGATCTATGGGTTATACTTCGAACGTAACTGGTTGTATTTATGTTGGAACACCAAAGGATTTGTTTCAGACTTTTTGAGTTTGGTGAGTGTAAGATCGACCTGTGGTTTCACCATTTGCCATGGTGGTGAGGACAGAAGTAGGTAAGGTGCAATGATGTTGAGTTCAATTTTAGCTGCAGATATGTGTGGTTTGATCCTGATTCCAAGTGGTGGAACCAGGCTTGGCAGTTTAGGAAACAAGTTTTCAAATAGCGGGCTGAAAACACAATTGTATGCTGGATTGGACACATTTGAACGTAATTTAGTGATATACTGCAGTGAGAGTTTAATGCGGCGTTGTTCAAGGGAAGGTTGATTGGCCTCCGCATATAGACTGTCTACCGGAGAGGTCCTAAAAGCTCCCAGGCAGAGCCTCAGCCCTTGGTGGTGGATAGAGTCTAATTTTTCTAAATTGCATTTTCAGGCTCCACCGTAGACAGTGGAGCCATAATCTAGTTTACTGCGAACTAATGATCTGTACAAGTGAAGTGGGTCTGATCCCTTCCCCACTCTGTATTTCAGACTACTTTTAGCAAGTCTAAAGCCGTCAAGTACTTTGTTTTCAAATGTTTTATGTGTGGTAAGAATGTCAGGTGGCGGAATATAATTTGTTTTAGATTTTGAAAACTTAAGACCATTTTCATTGGCCCATTTTTGGATTTTGTTAAGGCAGAGTTGTAGCTGCCTTTCTATTGTGTGCATGTTCTCACCATGACATGAAATATTCAACTCATCCACGAATCATGATACAAGAGAACACATGTAGTTACTACATTGCTTATAAAGAAGCAAAACGTATTTTTCGAAAACGACATCGTCAATCAAAGAAACATGAGGATGATCTTAAATTCAAAAGAATTTATGAGGCTTCTGAACTAGGTATACAAGAGTACTCTAAAGCTACCAAAATATACAAACGTAAAAAAGAATACACTCAAGTTCTCACTTACGAAAACACATCTTGTAATACTCAGGAAGGTATATGTGACCTATTTGCTAAATATATATATCTCTACCATGTACAGATGCTAATTTTGATTCAGATTTTACTGATTATGTAAATAACTTTATCTCAACTTGAGAATACTAATGATGACTGTGATGATGCTTCTACACTGCTTCAGTGTCCTTTTACGTTTGATGAACTGTTATGCACTATTCGGCGACTTAAGAACGGCAAATCACCTGGACCTGGCGGTATTGTTAGTGAACACTTAAAGTACGCCGGTAGATCTGTTATTAATCGCCTAGTAGCACTTTACAATGCTATTATTCATTATGAATATCTACCTTGTGGTTTTAATGTTGGTACCATACTCCCCATTCACAAAGGAAAAGGTAAAAGCACATGCAACCCTTCAAATTACCAGGGTGACGTTAAATATTAACTCACTCACTCATTCAAATTACCGGGGAATAAGTATTGCTTATTACAGGGAAAGAAACTCACCAGGGTATTGTGTCTTTCTAGACAACGAGAAGGCCTTTGATAGAATATGGCTCAATGGATTATTTTATGAACTCCATCACTTTGGTATAAGTGGTAAACCGTGGCGTATCTTATGTATTAAATATACTTCAATGCAGTCTTGTGTTAAAATAGGGGTGGGGTGGGGGGTTGAATCTTCTCCATTTCCTGTAAAACAAGGTGTTGGTCAAGGCTGTCTTTTGTCAGCTGGGTTATTTTCATTGTATATTGATGACCTATTATCCGCACTAGAATCATTACAACACGGTTTAAGTTTTCCATGGGGTAATGTGCCAGGTATCTTATTAGCAGATGACACAAATATTGTAAGTAGAGCCATAGATGGCCTACAGTGTGCACTAAATGTGTGTTTTGAGTACTTTTGTAAATGGCATCTTAAATATAATGCCGACAAAAGTGTATTCTGATTGTTTGGTAATACTCAAAAATATATACCATGTCCATCATTTTACATTGGGGAGAAGATTGTAACTCAAAAAGATCTTGTTGTGTATGCTGGCTTGTACATAACCACTGCATCTTCAACTTTAGTGCGTACTCAAGAATCATGTGATAAACTTAGAATGTTAGTCAACACAAATCGCTGCAATGGTTCGTTCTTTGGTGGTCTAAACCCCATGTCTGCCTGTGGAGTCTGGAACAGAGTTATGTTACCATGTGCCCTGTTTGCTTGTGAATTATGGTGTAAACTAACATATAAAGAGTATGAAATACTTGAAAGAGCACAATCTTTCTTCTGTAAAAAACATCCAGGGGCTCTCTAAATGTTCTTCGACAGTTGTCGCACGAGACTGTTTAAATTACTATCAGTCCAAGCATACATAGAAAAACGTAGTCTTATGTTCCTTGGCAAATTATGTAGAGGTTATTTAAACTTTGTATTCAAGAATGTCTTAAACTTTAAACTTAGTCAATTCTTACTTGACTCATGTTATGAAAGAGAAGTTAAACGTACAAATCCCCTATCTAGAATATGCTAATATTAATGTATAAATACGACCTGACATATTACGTAAATATACTGAGTCAAAACAGAAACTTCACAAATTGTAACTTGAAAAATAATGAATAATTTTTCTCTGATGATACATGTATGTCTCCGAAATGGGATCCCTATCTTTCGACTCTAGAAAAACGTTAGCAAAACCCACTCAAACCCATCCATTCATCGTGCAAATGACGTTAGTGCCAAATCAGGTTTTGCACGCATCGAAGTTTTCTTCATATGCACATGTTTGCATTGGCCTCAAGAATTGAAAAAACACTTTTAAACCACAGTTCGAACGGTACTTGAAATGCCACGATTGTCAAATGTGCAATGTGAACGTGCCGTTGGCATGTTGCAAGCGGGAAGATCAGTTATTGACGTCGCAAGTGCAATGGGATGCAGCCGTCGTACTGTGTATGACTTGCGAGGTCGTCTACAACAAACTGGCACCACTTCTGATCGCCCGATCGGGTCGTCCACGTAAGACCGTCAAATCGTCCTACGTCACCTACGTGACAGATTTCTGCCGGCTGCACGAACCAGGGCTGAGATGTTTAGAGGTCGACTGTCCTCACAGACCATTCGAAATCGGTTGCGGGCTGCCAATCTCCATTCTCGACGTCCATATCGTGGGCTCATCAACGTCAACGTCTGCTGTGGGCCCAACGTCACCTCCGATGGACCCAGAGAGACTGGAATCGAGTCGTCTTTAGCGATGAATCCAGGTTTACCCTCAGATTCGCGGACGGCAGGCATAGAGTCTGGAGACGACATTGTGAACAGTATGCCCAATGTTGTGAACAGGAAGTCGACAGATTCGGGGGCGGAAGTTGCATGGTGTGGGGTGCTTTCTGTGGAAACAACCGTTCCCGACTTCTGGTCATCCGTGAAAACCTCACAGCTGCTGCTTACCGCGACCAGGTGCTCACCCCTGAACTCGTTTGTTTCATGGCGGCTCATGGCCCAGGTCTACAGTTCCAGCATGAAAATGCTCGGCCGAATACCGCGATGTTGACACGAAATTTCCTTCAAAACGCTGGAATCAACATCATGGACTGGCCAATAAAGCACGTTTGGGATGCACTTGGGAGAAGGCCTCGTGGTCTTAGGAACCAACCTCTGAACTTGCAGGAGGAAATCCCCAACCACGTGTTCACGGCATGTTTGGCAGTGGTGGTAGTGGTGAATGCGCGGGGCGGCCATACACGATATTGAACTGAGTAATTTCGCATTTTTATTCTTGTGACTTGACATTCTGTATACCCATGTTTTGGAACGGCGGTGTAGCCTAATGGAACTGATTATGGCACTGTCAGTGTATCGAGTACATCACACAGATCTCAGCAATGAAATAATAACAATTTAACCATCTTACCATCTCTTGTTCTTTAATAGTGCCCTGAGGAAAGAATGTGAAGTTTCTTTTTTGACACAGAACATACATACATCGTGTCTGCCAGCTTTCTTAATAAAGCACAAGGGAATGTCCATGTTACGAAAACAATTCATGATGCTGAAAATATCCATATATGTAAAGAGTTAACGTCAAGGGAAAATCAACATAGATGCTATTCAGTGCGAGACCAGAATATACATACATTATGGCAAATGTCGATCCTACGACCTGATCTATTTCACTGTATTGCAAACTCGGTGCAAATTAGTACTCTGCGTATCCAATCAAAAGGGTGTATATGTGGCACATTTGCCTACGATATTGTCAAACATGTCTTTATGTACTGCGAGCCGACAAGCCGCCAGAGATATCTTCTTATCGAATCAATTATTGACATAGTAGATGTAAATACGTTTTCTAGCCTTTGGAACAATGATGAAGAATTGATTCTATGTTTCTTACTCGGAGGACTTCCAACAGAATATTGTCTATCCCTTGATGATAATGTATGGCTTGAATGTATGACTAATGTGTGTACAACTGTTAACAACTGGAAACATTTCTTTGTAAATTGTTTGTAACTATCTGTATTCCCCTGTTTCTGATCTGCATGTAAATATATCATATCACATTGTATCTTCGTTCACTGGAGGAAATACAGAATATCTTTCTATCTATCTATCTATCTATCTATCTATCTATCTATCTATCTATCTATCTATCTATCTATCTATCTATCTATCTATCTATCTATCTATCTATCTATCTATCTATCTATCTATCTACTCTCAGTTTTGTGTGGCTTTGATTGACAGGAGAATTTGACAACTCGGGACTCCGCCCCTCGTGTCAATTCTGTCAATCAAAGCCACACAAAACTGTGAGGTAACCAAGCCAATCACGAGTGTTAAGGTGATGTAACTACTACAAACAGCACGCTAAATATTATTTCATGTGAACACTTTGATGTTGTATGTAGCACATGTCTATATTTATAGCAAGTCCAAAAGCGTAGGGAAACTCAGTTTCACTGACATGCGCAATTAATGCAGCCAAACAATGCGTGTACTTAGGGCCTTTTCACTGATTAAACTGTCTCTCTGTCTGTGTAAACAGTACTTTCGTGGAAAGGTCCTTGCGAAAACGCCATGGTTTAGCAGCAGAGAAGGTCAGTGGCGTAGCCAAGTGGTTAAAGTGTTCGCTCATCATGCCCAAGACGCCCAAGAAAAGAGTTTGATTCCCAACATGGGTACCCATTTCTGATGCAGCTGGAATATTGCTAACAGTGACGTTAAAGATACTCAGGTAGTCAGCAGCAGAGTAGCCCTTATACTGCCAAACAGAAGACAAGGCGTGTTCAAAATAAATTTGGGGCTTCATATTTGTCAAGTAGTCCTTAAAATACACGCAGATCACGTTTTAATAGCATAGGCCATCAACATCTTAAGTGATGAAGTTGATGTTTGGAAGCGTTTGTAGCACATCCAGGTGTACTACAGTGTCGTGGAACAACATCAGTGATAGTAGTGGTGGTTATTGTGTACACATGTATAGAGGAACGTTTTCCTAATGAACCAACCTGCTTCTGACAGTACGAGTAATAACTATTTTATCAATTTGATAATGCACTCATACGTCTACGCCCATTACTGACATGAAAGGGAAAGTGTCTGGAAATGATCGCGCAACTGGCTTAGTTTTTCTGAGCCATGAATTCTCTAGCCATTCGGAACGTGCATTTCGTGGTTATTGTGTACACACGTATAATAGAGCAACGTTTTCCTGATAAATCAATCTGCTTCTGACAGCACGAGTAATAAATATTTGATCAAATCAATTTCTCCGTTTCAGCAAAAGGATATTGACTGACATAAAGCAGGTGTCCTTAGTAACCAAGTGATAATAGTATATCGATGACAAGATGAAAACAAGAAGAAGCTGACATATTCCCCCGGCCCCCACATGTTTGAAAGAACAAATCATCTAACAGTTACTTAAAGTCCATCTTGATGTCTTTTTAGACTTAAAAAAATGCTAAAATTCTGTAATTAGCAAAAGGCAACACTTTGGAATCTGCCTCACATATCTGCTAAGTTCTGCTACAAAATATTAAGAAGTTTTCGAGTTGTGCTCCGGAAACGAAGCCCATACCTCCCTTTTGAGACTAAGTCCGAATCGTTTCCATGGAAACCGGGAAAAATAGAAATGCTAAAAATCTGTAAATAGCAAAAGGCACCATACTAGGTCCTGTTTGATATTTACTGAACCGCCAAAAATCCGTTACTCCCTTTTTGAAATTGGTAATCAGTTTAATTCAAACACATGTAAATAACATGATGGTTGTTGGAAAGATTTCAAAATTGACATGTTTGATAATCAATACTTGAAAACGAATTTCAGACAATGACAAGTCAAAATGATGATAGGTGGCGCGGCAGTGCGATCCGAAAGTCAATAACGCGTATGGCCTCCTTGAGCGTTGACAACAGCATTGCATCGTCTGTACATGGAGTTGATGAGACGGTTGATGAAGGCCATAGGAACTTCTTTGAGCGGCATTTTAGAAGTTGGGAAGTACAATATAGGACAAACTTTATGGATAACAACTTCTTTTTATTGGTGAGTGCGACGTTTCGATACAGATTCTTGTACCGTTGTATTATGCTTGACAACGGTACAAGAATCTGTATCGAAACATAGCACTCACCAATAAAAAGAAGTTGTTATCCATAAAGTTTGTCCTATACCGTAGGAACTTGTGCCCACATTCGGTGATACGCCTGAGAGAGTTCAGCTGCAGTTGTCAGCCTTGATCGCACATCTTCGAGGCTCCTCTGAATCTCGTCCCACAAGTGTTCTGAGGGCAGGCCATTGAAGAGTTGACAGAGAAAGTCTGTAGTTGCTCCGGCAGTATGGGCACGCGCGTTGTCATGCTGGAAGACGTGGTTCCATGACGACCAAAATGTGGCACGACGAAGGGTCTAAGCGCTTGATCAATGTAGCTGGCAGATGTTACACCATTTCCTTTACCAGGACCAATATTATGGAACACCATAGGGCCTAGTTTGTGATTGAGAGCTATAGCACCCCACAGCATTATGCTCGGACCTCCCCACAAGTCTCTTTCCAGGTCACAATCATCTGCAAAACGCTCCCTGCTTCGTCACCACACTCTCACTCTGCCATCTGCCGTCGAGACACAATATCGGCTTTTGTCGGAGAAGACTAAAGTTCGCCACTCCCGGTGACGCCAATTCCGATGATGTGTGGCCCACTGGAGACGAGCACGATGGTGTCGAACAGTGAGGATCAGACCCCGGTAAGGCCTGCGACATCTGACGTTTCTCTGCCTAAAACGCCTTCGCACTGTGTCGGCGCTGATTTATCTCTGGTGATTGCCAATGGTTGTCTATGCAGTTTCCGTAGCCCTAGCGAAACGATTTTGCAGGTGATGACGGACAATCTGCCGATTTTGCCATAACGTTGTCACAGGCAGTCTTCCACTGCGAGGATGGTAGGCTGTGCTTCCCGGGGCTTGGACTCGTTGCTGCAGGCGGTATATTGTTCGAACATGAACAGAAAAATGATTTGCAACATGTCTTGCAGTCTGGCCAGCGTTCAGTTTTCCTAAAGCTTGGTCCCGCTGTTCTTTTGATAATCGTGGCATGTCCCTACTGTCGAACAGTGAATGATTCGGTGCATGTTCGGTGCCTCTTCTTATAGGGATGACACCTCGGGATGCACGTGCATTGTCATTTTCATGAAATACGCTCAAAAACCTCATCCCATCATTACTTTAGTAACTGCGTTTTGATGACATTTTTGTATCAAATACAGCATCTGAATCCAAATCTTCTTGAACATTGGCTACGCACCAGGTCTACCAAAATATAAATAGTGAAAAATTAAATAACATTCAGAAGAAACATACCTGGCAAAATGTTTGGTAGGATGACGTTTCTGTTGCGGTTCAGTATATCTACAAAGTTTTGATGACAGATACTGAACAGTTTTCGAAACGAAACCCACCCCTCCTTTTTGAGCCTAAGTCCAAAACATTTCCATGGAAACCAATAAAAATAAAATTGACTAAAACCTGCAAATAGCATAAGGAACCACTTTAGGTTCTGTTTGATATATCTACCACGTTTTGTTAAAGGAAATTGAACGGTTGTTTAGTTATTCTCCGGAAACAAAATGATAACGGACGGACGGACATACAGACGAGGCGTCGACTATATCCCCCCGCATTACATGCCGGGGGTTAATAATAATTGTCGACAACTCATACAGTTTTACTAAATATACAGAAAACAAACAGCTGAATCGAAATTATTCTGATGCATATTGATCGTCGACATGATGTCTGTCTGCTGCAGTAGTCAGGTATTTGTCGACATGATGTCTGTCTGTTGCAGTAGTCAGGTATTTGTCAACATGATGTCTGTCTGCTGCAGTAGTCAGGTATTTGTCAACATGATGTCTGCCTGCTGCAGTAGTCAGGTATTTGTCGACATGATGTCTGTCTGCTGCAGTAGTGAGGTATTTGTCAACATGATGTCTGTCTGATGCAGTAGTCAGGTAGTTGTCGACATGATGTCTGTCTGATGCAGTAGTCGGGTATTTGCCTTCAGTTACCCAACAATTGCCTTTCCCGTTCATTGTTGAGACTTTTTGTTGTTGATTTGGTATGAAGTAGACGATGAATATACAGATAAGAAAGAGCACGCTGTTGGAAATAAAACATCACAGTTCGAAAAGGCCCATGGAAAATGCCAGGGTATAGCAGCAGAACAGAACAGGCGTCATTCTGCAGCCTTCTGTTCGACATGCCAGAGAACATGGGATCCTTTCACGAAGCAACCGTAACTAAGGTTAACCATAACTCCCTTTCTTTAACATTGCACTAAGGTTACCTTAGTGACTTACGATCACCTTAGCGCTTGGTGAAAAGAGGTCCTGAGTTCAATTCTTCACAATTTGTAGAGCCCATTTCAGGTACTTCCACCATTACTTGGCTGGATTATTGCTAAAACCCGCCTCAACTATACTTGCTCAAGTTTCTCACTCACGAGTTCCAGCTGATGGACCGTATGGAGGATTATCTTTAGCGACTGATACAGCCGCGTCCTTGGTTGATTCAGGTGGAACTATATTCATGCTCATGTGTCGCATACGTCGTTGAATTTACACTTGTGAGAGGTACGAGAAAACCAGTTGTCCGAAAGCCGTAGTGGCTGAGTAGGTTAGATGGCTAACTTTGGGTGCTGGTGATTACCTGCCTGAGACAGAGAGTGTAGGTTCGAATCCTGGATACGACTCAGTCTAACAAAAGTACTAGAATCGGTACGTTACTTAGAATATGTAATAACAAACATAATGTGTTAAAAAATCAAACTATTTAAAATCATTTTATGAATCAATATATGACTCTGTCTCTTTTCTCAAGACCAGACATCCTCCTAAACAGATGCATTGTAGGTGTGTATTATGCAGCAACAGTCTCTACACAACTGCATTGTAGGTGTGTATTATGCAGCAACAGACTGTACACAGCTGCATTGTGTGGGGAAATAATGTGCTTACTGTGTACACAAAAATACTTAAGTCATATTTCCAGTTTTTTTGCCGGTTCCCCTAGGAAAATGAGCTCAGGAACATTTCAAAGACAGGCTGCCAACAGGAAATGCTATTGATCCCATTGCGATTGCGTGCACCATGATTGGCGAACCTATAGGAAGACATTACAGATCGCAACGTATCCGATGATTTGTGTTTCCTTTCTGTCAGAGTTTGATACAAAACATATTCTTTTATTCAATTAAGAAGCACTCGATTCTTGAACTGTATGGCATGACAGAATTAGAATGACCATATGACCATATTATTTTTGACAATTTGCCATACACATACATAATACAATTCATTATACAGACCAATTACTCCTAAGTAGATATTTAAAAGATGTCTTGATAATGTGAATCCCTTGCATTTGAAAAGCACACAGTCAAAAGGCATATACTTGATGGTGAACACCTCATCGCAAGAGATACACTTAGGAGGTCCATTTCCATCTGCTTGTAGCTTGTTAACTACTCATCGACAATGTATACTGAGAAAGAAAAAAGACTAACACATATGTGTCCTGTTTTAATCAGTTTTCAGCAGACGAATACGTAAACCAAATATAATAAAACAATGTAAGCACATTTACACTTTAAATCGCTGCACTGATCACCAATACCCTTCATTAAGTATAGCCGTCAAATGTGCCCCAAAGGGTGGTGCACAAACACAGCGATCAGCACTGTTCTACACCGTTGTGGTCGGGTGGCGTGCTGCCCAGCTGGGAGAGTCACATACGGTCGATTGAGTGAGTGAGTGAGTAAGGTTTTACGCCTTTTTGAGCAATATTCCAGCAATATCACTCCGGATGACACCACGAAGAGGCTTCACGCATTTTACCTATGTTGGGAATCGCACCTCCGTCTTCGGCGCGACGAGGCAGCTATTTAGCCTCTGGGCTACCCCATCGCAATAGCCGACGTTATTAGGGCCAGGAGACTACATCACACGATTCATAAAGAAGACTTTCAGAATCGGTATAGTCCACGAGGATAAATTCCAATGGGGGATACGGATTCTCATTGTGATTGTAAACTGACGTCTCACTTGACACCGATGCTACAATTTTCATGTTTCTCTTAGGTCTATCGACAGCTATGGTGTAACGTTTATACGAGTGAGTGAGTCAGAATTTTCCATCGCATCGGCACTATTGCGATGAGAACAAACTGACTTTAATTAAATGTATCTCATCAAAGGAAAGTAAAATAGTATTTTGAGTATCATAGTTTAAGTATAAAACATACCAATTCAATAGTAAAAAAATACACTTTCTCAGAATATAATAGAGTCCATATGAACATACAGAACAAAGTCCTACCTTCTAAACACAGCGGGGCTTTAGTCACACGATGCACACTGCATCGCCTCCCTGACGGACACGTGTGATCTGCGCAGGGGCCAACGAGTTCCTTAAAATAAACAAAATATTTTCAGCAATTATATACATTCCCAGTGTTAATTAGAAATTAGTCAAGAAAAAAAAATGATCATATATAAAAATGAATGCAAATATATCGGGCACAAACTATATCCATCGTGAGTCAGGAACATCAGGCATTGATAGGTAGTGGTTGAATAACAACTTGTTATAAAACCACCAAACCGTTTCCATAAGCATGACCGTTCAGCCATATGCTTGGTCCAATGTGCACTTATGAGTATCATAAGCATCGGTGACAAACGGATGTCCGAGGCAGTTACTAATTCTGACTTGTACCATACGTTTCCGTTTTTGCATCATATGGACAATTGGCTAGCCATTGTATGTGTTCATGACGGGGTCACCGATGAAGCAGAATACGATCACCTTCCACGAACACTTGTCATCATATTTAGCAAAATAATCTTATGGTGTGGAAAGGGTTTTGTAGCTTTTACTTGTGTATCACAATCATATAGTCGTGGTACCTTGTTTCCGGGAAAAGAAGAGTGTATCCCTCACCTAAACATGTCACTTTGTCATTGGGTAATGACTTTCTCATACGACAACATAATCAGTATATTTTCACACACACACACTGCTCCTCAGGATCCACGTTCATAGACGTATTGGCAATATAAAGCACATTCATACATGCGGAGACATACCTTCGGCCAGTGTGAAATATCGCTGTGTTTCCACGGTGGTTTCGTCACCAGGTCGGTTGGTGCTGATGAACTGTGTTTCTTGTGAAGGTGACAGGTGCGCAGATTAGGTTCGAATCCAAATGAGGAACAGCCAAGATTGGCATAGCATTCCACGGCACACTTACGTGCAGCAGACACCCTTCCCTTAATGATGCCAAATAAGTTGTTTTCCAGAAAACGGTCATCTTCTGTGATTGATGCTTCATTGAAGCAAAACAGCTGAACTGGACAAATGACACTTACAATGAAACACAGAATCAGCGGGACCATCTGAATGAGCTGCAGTTTGAGAACAGCTACGCTAGTTTTGTGTTGCTGTAGCTCCATGCATCCCATGTGTTTACCTCACGTTTGACAGAACATCGATTTTATACATCTCCTTACATACAGTTTGCATTAACCATGCATGGCTTAGTCTCAACTTGCTGCCCCTCGTGTGATGACTATGCAGCATTATTCAACCATATTGACTTCTTCAGTGGCGCTGATAACAAAGTAGAAGGATCTGGAAAGCCTATTCTTGAACCATATGCCTTAGGGACTATTGCTGATTTTTCTCGGATTCTTTTATGGAAAGATAGAGGAGCGACTTATTGCCTATCAGCTCACATTACATCTTAAGTCAACAGAAGACCAACTTATTTGCTAATATCCATTGTTCTTGTTGTTAATAACTTTGATGCATGTTGCCTTATTTCATCCATGTTACATGTGTAATAGTATATGTGTATAAGTCTGTTGTGTGCTGAAGTGAAGTGAAATCTTCCTTGATAATGGTATAAGAATTTATTCTGAAACACGTCAGGTATCACTTCAGTGACAGTGGCGTATGTATATTAATCAATAATAAGATAAACATGCAGACGTCGCTTCCCGCTTTTAAAGGCCCGCAGTAAAGAGGAGAGATATACGCTGGCGACTGAGTTCATACTGCAAATTTGAACATTCATCGCAAACTATTGTGATAAGGTGAAAGTCGTAATAATTCCAGGGCATTAGAGATTATATTGGCTAACATATTAAGAAATTTAATGAGAATCCTTCAAATGTATTTTTTCTGAAATCCTTTCTCTGTGAGGTACGTAAGTCCCAAAACATTTTGACTTTTCTTTCGAAACTTGTTGAGAAAGCTGTCAACCTCCATGACATCCTTGATGACTATCAGTCTGCTTATCGTCAGCAGCATTCAACAGAGACCTTGCTCCTGAGAGTTGTTAATGATCTCAGGTGTCTAGTGGATTCTGGCGACATGGCAACGCTGACTCTTTTAGATCTCAGTGCAGCGTTTGATACGGTTGATCATTCCAAGCTTCTGGATATTTTACAGTATCAGGTTGGTATCAGTGGAACGGTGCTCTCTTGGTTTGCATCTTATCTCCATATCAGGCGGCAGTCTGTATATGTCTTGGGACAGTTTTCGGATAAGACAGTGCTCTCATGTGGAGTCCCATAATATCAACAAGAATATAATCAATTAAAAAATAAATATAATGCATACAAATCCTTATTTACAGATGGGTCCAAGGATGGTGGCGCGGTGGCATGTGCCACTGTCATTGGTATCCAGAACATTATCTTCTCGACTACCAAATAACAGCTCCATTTTCACAGCAGAAGCTAACGCCATATTAACAGCTCTTAAATATATTAATAAACACCGAAAATATAAACAATACATAATATTTTCCGATTCTCTTTTGTGTCTTCAGGCGATTAAAAATCTTTCTTGTAAACATCCACTTTTATTAGAAATTATTGAATTGTATAATGAGCTTGCTACTGGCCAATGCGACATCGTCTTTTGTTGGTTACCCAGCCACGTTGGCATTTCTGGGAATATAATGGCCGATCTTGCTGCTAAGGCAGCACTCAACAAATCTGTGACACCACTTTTTATCCCATACTCTGATTACAAAGCTGCTATTAGATCTTATATCCGTGATCTGATGCAAAAGAATTGGGACACCCAAGTAGGTATCAATAAATTACATGCAATAAAACTAACTATCGGTTACAACTACTTGGGTTGTCAGTCCAGATTTGAAGAGGTCATCATACGACGATGTCGTATTGGCCACACAAGATATACTCATGAGTACCTATTAAAAGGTGAGGATCCTCCGTTTTGTATCCCTTGTGATGAAAGAATCACAGTCAAGCATGTCCTGCTTGACTGTGTTGAATATTCCATCACAAGGGATATCTATTTCAAATCACAAACTATGAAGGATCTTTTAGAAATTTAAGTTCTCGTTTAATTAATGCATTTTTAAAAGAATAAGATTTGTTAACTTATATGTAAACAGATACATATTTTATTATTGGTAAGTTAAGATTCGTAACTGAGTTTGTTAGTGGCTGTACCCTCAAAGGAGGTTGAAGTAGCGAAAAATTATTGTCCTCCTGCGAGCGTACGTAAGTCCCGAAACATTCAAAGGAAATTTAAATATTACCAGCTGTTTTAAATGTAGTATTCTTGTCTTTTTAATTTCGGCTAAATTTGACTCCAATCGCCAGCAGCTGAAGGGGTGATATAAATCCAACTAGGGCCCATGCAGGTTGCAAAAGTACGGTAAGTCCCCATGGTCCCTAGTTTGGTGATCTACCTTCAATTGTTGGCGATCTATAGCCAGTTTTTATATTGTATTGTCCAAATAGTGCTATTAGTTTTAATTTCCCACACTAGTTTTAGTTGTAATTGTGATATTCTAGTTGTTTTACTGTCCTTTGTCGACAGTTTATTTTATAATATACATCTATTCCATTTCAATGTCGCATATATTCTGGTCACGATAAGGCTGAAATACTGCCGATGTGACGTTAAATAATAAATCACTCATCACTTTCTTCATTGTTATTGCCACACTCTTCATCACACTCTTCATTGTCCTCGTTACCACCATGCAGTTTCTTCAAAATTTCTGCTTCCCAGTCGATACTTTCTGGGTCCTCTGTCAGAATGTCAGACAGTCACAATTCACAAACTCTTCCACCTTACATGCGCTACTTGTCATGTTTGTAACAAGCACAGCCAGTGGAATGTCATCTTCTTCATTGTCCGATTCTAAAGAATCCAGTGCACACGTTGAAAACCTGCATGCACTTAAACACTTCAAGATAGTAGTATCCTGCCAAGATTTGTGTGGATCATGTGTACAGCGTCTAACACATTAATGTTCTTCGAAAGTCACACTGCTGCATGTGTCGATCCGTGATATCAGGGATTTCATCAGAAATTTCCTATATCGATGCTTGAAGGCTCGAATTATTCCCTGGTCAAGACGTTGGAGAACTGACGTTGTGTTTGGCAGAATATATTTTACAGTAACATTGCTGAGCACTATGTCTTGAGGGTGGGACGGAACATTGTCAATGAACAAGAGGATACGCCTCTTTCTTTTCTTCATCTGTCTGTTGACTTGATCTAGCCAATCACTGAATATGTGTGAGGTCATCCACACCTTCTGATTGTCTTGCCAAGTCACGGGGAGAGTCTCCATATTAACATAATTGAAACAGCTGGTCTCTCAGCTTTACCGATTACAAGAGGTTTGAGTTTCTCATCTGTTGCACTGCAACTTTCAACAAACCAAGGGCCTTCAGGCATTTAGTTTTAGGGGATTTAATATGTGGCAGAAACGTTAAGTGCGAGTCAAAAATTAAACTCAAGAACTTGGCCTCCTTAACAGCTTTGATGGGTGTGCCATTTAGAGATAGTTCAGGGTCTTTATGCGGTTTTTATTTACGGCAGAAATGTATACAATTAGTTTTTGATTTAGAAAATTTAAAGCCGTTTTCCAGACACCATTTATTTATTTTGTTTAAACTCAACTGCAGTTGTCGTTTAATAGTATGCATATTTTTACCACAACAAGAAATATTAAAATCATCCACAAAAAGTGATCCATCGATTGAATCATTTAAAACCTTGGATAAACTGTTGATCTTGATACTAAACAATGTGACAGACAAAATACTGCCTTGTGGGACACCCTGATCCTGATTGTAATGATCAGACAGGGTAGATCCCATGCGGACTTGAAATTGTCTGTCATTTAAAAAGTTAGCTATAAATTGAGGCAATCGGCCTTGCAATCCGAAGCCATGTAAATCTTTTAAAATACCATATTTCCACGTAGTGTCATATGCTTTTCAAAGATCAAAAAACACAGCGTGTTGTTTATTAATTAGAGCATTTTTAACAAATCATTTCAAACGCACTAGGTGATCGACAGTACTTCTGTTTTTACGGAAACCACATTGTATATCTGTTATAAGGTTATTTGTTTCCAAGTACCAAACAAGTCGATTATTTATCATGCGTTCCATGGTCTTTCAAACGTAGCTAGTTAGTGAAAGTAGCCTATAATTGGAAGGATCAGTAAGATCACGTCCAAGTTTAGGGATGGGCACAATTATAGCATCGCGCCACGACAAAGGAAATTTTCCAGATGTCCCAATATCATCAAACATAGATAAGAGCGTCTCTAAACATGATTCTGGTAAGTGCTTCAGGAGTTGATAATGGATGTTATCAGCTCCGGAAGCAGTATCATGAGCCTGGTCAAGAGCAGTATGAAGCTCGTGGATTGAAAAGGTTTCGTTGTAATCTTCCCCATTATCGGAATTGAAATTAATAGCTTTCTTTTCTTGCTGTTTTTGATATTTTTGGAATTCAGGTACATAGTTAGATGAAGAGGAATGTTTGGCCAACGTCTCACCAAGTTTATTTGCAATATCTGATTTATCAGTCAATAGCTGATTCCAATCTTTGAGATGGCGAATGCTAGATTTAGAGCCCTTACCCTTGATTTTCTGGATCATATTCCACACCTTTGATATTGGTAAGCGCGAATGGATTTTTGAGACATAGTTTTGCTAAGAGTGGCGTTTATTTTGCTTGAAAGTACGTCGTGCTTTAGCGTTTAAAATTCTAAATTTGTCTAAATTGTGATCCATAGGATGGCGACGGAATTAATGCTCAGCTTTCTTCCGTGCCTTCCTTGCCTGTTTGCATTCGTAGTTAAACCATGGTTTTCGTACGTGTGGAATTGCAGAGGACTTTGGGATACACTCGTCAGATATGTTATTTAGTTTATCTGAA